CCCTTGATGGGATTTTCCCCTGCCGTGATCACACCGTGGAGCCAGATAAGCAGCATCCTGTGGCCGTGCTCCCTGTAGCTTTTGGTGCCTGGCAAGATCAAACCGCGGCTGAAATCCTGCACTGCGTAGCCTGCAGCCCTGGCCAGAGCGTACTTCTGATTTGGTGGGTTCAGACACCCCTCCCTCCTCTTTGGATTTTACTAGGAGGCTCTCATGTACAGTTTGGCTGAATTCCTAGTTGTGGTGTGGTTGCTAGGTTAATGTTAAACCTAACGGAGGCTTGTCAGACAACCTTTCACAGCAATACAGGATTTTTGCCTTCAGAGCATGGCTTAGCCCCTTGCTCCCGTTGTGCAAACTACAGGCGTCCTTACAGTAACCAAACCAGCAGGCATCTGTTTCTGACACTCAGAACCTGCTTCTGCTAACATAACTCTTAAATTCTAAATGGGACTTCGCTCCTGCCTTGCTCCTTTAGAGAAAAAAATAAAACCAGCAAGTTTCTTCTGACCTATAGAACAAGAATTGTAGCGAGCGCTCACAGGTCTGGCGAGCGCCTCAGGAGGGAGCAATGGCCCACTAACCACCAGGCTTGTGTGCTTCATTCCTAGACAAATTCCAGTCTGTGGATAACTCCGCATTCATTAAAAATGGGATTTTTAATCTGATCCTTTGGTTGTTTCAAATAAGCCAGCTGGTTTTCTTCATGCTTTGCTATTACTACAGACTTAGCTCCTAGAAACACAGGCCAAGGGAAGGAAGACAAATACCCGGGCAGTGTTTTATACCTGTCCATTGTTGCTCAATGGCCCTAATGTGAGCATCAGTGAATTTCCAGTAATGTGCCAGCTTCTTCCATTCACCAGGTTTGAGGTACTTAGTAGCCAACCTCCAGATTACCGAGCGGATGTGCTGCGTTTCCAGCCTGTGATCTTGCTTAAAGGTCAAGTGCTTTGCCACCCAGGAGTCAGAGTCGCTGTTCAAATTGTCCTGCAAAGCCGGAACAGGGGTTTCAGTTGGGACGCTGCAGAGGGACACCACTCAGCTCTGCAGGTCGCTGTGAGTTCATTCTGGCACGGCATGTTGTTGGGCTTTCTTTTTTATTCTCTTTATTCCCTTGTTTCGCTGTGTTCTAATCATGCATATTAACAAATACTGTTAATAGCAGCTTTGCTGTGGAAACCCATGCGGATCGCAATTTGCATTTCTACAGTGCCTTTTATCTGGGGCTTGTATGCAGAATCATTTAATTAACTCTCCTTGCTCCCCTTCCACACAGGCGCAGCTGCTCAGCCCCTTTTCCATGCCAGCCTGCAAAGAGGCTAAATGCCCTTCCCTAGGGCTGTCTGGGAAGCCTGTGCCAGGGCCTGATACACACAGCGTTACTCCTGAAGCTGCTGAGAATGCCCAAAGTCTTACGGAGATGCAGGGGATGGGATGCTTGGCTGTATTTCCAGCAGGCCCTCTGCTCAGGTTGGTTTGGGTGCAGGTTTGGGGTTAGGGAGGGTTTCAGATGGGGGACTGGGGGTGAGCAGCTGTGCCTTGCACACAGGGCCATGGGAGGAGAGAGGCTGCTGGGCCAAACTGGGAAACACAGGAGGAACAGCCCCGGCTGTGGGGAACTTGGAGGGGGAAGTTGGTTGTACGACTCCCCAACAAGAACTCATCATTCTGCTCGCAAGAGGTGTCCTCCCTGCCGCTGTTGAAAACCTCCCCACGTCCCATTTGGCGACCTTGGGCCAAGCATTTTCCTGCTTGGTGCTTCTGTTTCTCCTTCTGGGAAAAGGAACTAATGCTGCCTCACTCCCTTCCACGGGGCTTTGGGAACAGCTGCCAAAGAATCTTTGAAAACCCTTGTTCCCTTCAGCACAGCCTGGGGTTCTTAACAACAGAGGCTTTTTTTAAATAAGGAAAGCCTTTAGATGTTGGCATGGTGAGGACTTTTGTTTTTCTTAAGTAAGGTGATGAAAGTAGAGGTCAGGCTGTCACAGGATGTCCTGTATTTCTTTTCCTTTTGACAGCTGGTAATGTGGAGTCTCAATGGAGAGGATAAAGCTACATCTGCCTGGGCAAGCGCAGCGGATGGTGGTGTAAGCCACTCACCTTTTCCCATTTGTAAAACCGATCGGCTTTGATAATCATGTCCGCCAAGTTGATGTGATTGCCTCGGGCGGCGACATCCAGAGATGTTTTCCCTTGCTGAAATTAGAAGGGGAAAAATGAGCTGGAAAAGACCTCGCACGCTTAGAAGGTACAACCTCCAAGCCCACCCAGCAGTCTGCAGTAGCAGGCAGTACCGCCTGTTGAGCGATGCACCCAGCTGGGATGAAGGACCCCTACTCTCCACCTGTTAACACCTTGGATGTGAGCTACCTTCAAGCTACTGTGTGCAGGGCATGGGGAGTCATTTTTTAGGCTCTGCAGCATCTCCTCTGTTGCCAGAGGGGATCTGCCTGTTTGGCAGGGCCGGCTGGGAACACATCCCATAACCCACAGTGGATGCAGGGTGCTGTCAGGCTACCAGTAACATGGGCACGGGCATCAAAGCTCAGCGCTACAGTCCAAGGCATTTTATAGCCTTGTGCACAGCAGGTTTGCTGACACATGAAACTGAAGTGATTTATACAATCTCATTCATTTTATAGGCTCCACATACGCATGATTAGAAATGGTCTCGTAGGAGGAGCACAGGCTGATGGGACTCTGAAAACATAACTATGCTCCTTACATGAATATGATTTTGGATTTGGGTGGGGATTTGTATTTATATCTAAAAGTGTCTAGCAGAAAGGAACAAGGTTTGAAAGTTGCATGAAGGAAAGCGAGCCAGCCCAACCATCAGGCATGCCAGTGAGAACGGTTCTAGCCTCAGATGTGCACAGAAACCAAATTTCACCCAGAAAAAAGTGAATGTGTTCCCTGTGCCGAGTCTCACTGCGGTTCCGCAGGCTGCTGGAAGGTGGCAAACATTCACTGCAGCTGAAGCCAGTTTCAGCCAGGGGGCTTCTGAGTCTGTTACGTGCTTTAACCTACTGCGAATGGCAGATGCTGTTTTAATCTCTGCCCAAGTCCCCTTCAGCATTTTCTGGGCACATACCATGCTTTCAGGCTGCAGGCAAACTTGCCTGATTCCTCTAGAATTCCTTTTGTTGATTTAATTAGAGGGAAAAAGCCCTGGACACCAGTGCCAGATCTATACCAACCAGATACTTTTAATCTATTAAAACACATGTGCTGTAATTCTTGAGGTATATTATTTATCATTATTTGAGAAGATCTTTGATATTAATGTGCATGATAGCACAACCAGAAGTAGAAGGAACTAGAACAACTCTGAGAAGAAAAAGTGTGCTCATTGTGTGAACTGTTTTCTACCTTCCTAAGAACCAGTCACTTCTTTCCTGGAAAACACATCAAAATAACCTACTCAGCAGTGTTTCAAGGCCTTACCCCTGGAAATATCCAGCCTTCCTTGAAAATTATGAAGAACGGTGGCAAAGACCATCCATATTTTCCCTCCATACCACCACAGAATCCATTCAACCCATGGAGACATTTACCTTGTCTGTTAGCTTCAGATTAACTCCTGCAACGAGAATCATCTCGGCAATGTCCTGCCTGCCATGCTCTGCAGCGATGTGGAGTGAGGTCTGCTGCCTCTGCAGAAGGAAGGTGACAGGACTACGTTTCAGAGAAGGACAAGTGCAAGGCTGGAAGGAGAGGATGGAACAACACCAGGAGGAAGCGCTGTAAGAAAGCCGTGAGCTCCACTCTCCTTTTCCCTCTATCCCTTTTTAAACTGAGGGCCAAACAGCCTCCTACCTCAAACTGGAGTTGGGTTCCTCAGGCTGAGCAGAACTGGTCTGTCCCTGTCCCAGCACCAGCACTAGGAAGCTGCCCTGATAACATTTTTGTCAAAAGGAACCTCTTCAGTTCCATAAAGCTCCCTAGGGTCATTTATAGGGCTACACTTTTTCCTGTTATTTAAAAAATTTCTGTAGGCAGATAGTTTGGCCAAGGGAGGAAAGGACCTTTGCCAATTCTTTGTTCCCGGGACAGAGGGACGGGTTAATGTGTATAGACTGTAAACTGTATGCACCTTGGTATTGTTTAATGGAAACAACTAAAATCAAGTAGAAAATGTGGCAATTTTATGGTGTCATCAGGAGAGAACATCACTAGAAGAATGAACATTAACTGAAACATTACAAAGAAGTTACACGTTTGTTAGCAAAGCCCCTCATTCATGAAATTACAATTTGGTGAGGCATCCAGCTACCTCCAGGTCTGCCTCCCATTCTCAGCCCCCCAGACACTCTGCAGAATATCTTTCAGGCTGAAATTTCTGTCTCCTGCTTCCATCAGGGAGGAGAGAGTCTGACTATGCAATGTCTCTGTGCACAGGTCCCAGGGACATGGCACAGCCCACATGTTGAATGCCATCAAGCGATTACCTCACTGCAACACTCTGCATCATTCCACAATTCTCATGTTCCTAAGATGCACTTCCAGGTTTTCCCCATTTTAAAGCACGCCTCTTTAATCCTGTCCCCAAGGTGATCAAATCCCCCATGAAATGGGTTCACATTTCAAAGACAAAGAACAGGAGCTGCACTCTTACATTGTCTGGAATGTCAAGGTCACACTCCGCATCGATGAAGAGCTTCACCATGGCTGGGAAGTTCTGCAGTACCGCAATGTGCATCGCTGATGCGCTTTGCTGTGGAAAGAAGACCCTGCGCTTAGGAAAAGTTTAGCTCATGGCACTGAAAGGACCACACAGCACCCAGCATGTCCTGTTCTAAGAGAGCTGCCAGCCTGGACTGGGGGCAGACTGGGGACAGTGTCCTGTAAGCACAGACCCCGCAGCAGCACTGGTCCTTGCAGAGTTGCTTTGTGCTCTTGAACAGCTCCGCAAACTGGCTTTGCCCTTTTGTAAGTGATGAGAGCATTGAGCAGGACTTACGTGATTAACAGCGTCTGTGTGGATTCCTGCATCCATGAGGATCCTGGCTATCTCTTCATAGCCATGCAGTGCTGCGTAATGAAGGCAATTCATCTTCTTCTGAGAGGCACAGCAGAAGAGATGGGTATGAGTCAGGATTCCTTCCTGGAAGCTGCAGTTTGTACAGACTGTCCACAGAGATCACCCTGCTTCCCTCCTGGGAGAGCCCCATGCCCCCATACAGACAAATTCATAGAGATTGTCTCCACAGCCAGACCAGTCCCAGGGCAGCTTCGTCTGCCTCTTTGTACAAAGCCATGTGTACTTTCCTCTGGACTCCCTGAAGTGCTGGGCTCCACACAGCCTGACCCGATAACGGGAGCCATCCGTGGGAAGTCTGGGCAAAAATCCACAAAGTAGTGTCTGGAAATGGAATTGCCCCCCCAGAACTCACCTGGGTTTGGGCATTGACATCGGCTCCTGTTTCCACGAGCAGCTTCACACAGTCACTGTGACCCCCCTCAGCAGCCAGGTGCAGAGCTGTAAGTCCTTCCTGGACAAGGCAAAAAAGGAGACAAGAAGCATTTCTGTAGACAAGGCCAAGACAAAAGAGCAGAATGAGCCCTCTACCCCATCTCCTGAGTCCATGACATGTTAAAATACCAATTCTGAGGGCCAGGGTGATTGTTAGGATGCAATTACCTGCCACTGACATATCAAACTACTGCTCTGTCCAGAACTCACCTGGGTTTGGGCATTGACATCGGCTCCTGTTTCCACGAGCAGCTTCACACAGTCACTGTGACCCCCCTCAGCAGCCAGGTGCAGAGCTGTAAGTCCTTCCTGGACAAGGCAAAAAAGGAGACAAGAAGCATTTCTGTAGACAAGGCCAAGACAAAAGAGCAGAATGAGCCTCTACCCCATCTCCTGAGTCCATGACATGTTAAAATACCAATTCTGAGGGCCAGGGTGATTGTTAGGAAACTAAAGGATGCAATTACCTGCCACTGACATATCAGAGTACTGCTCTGTCCTTACACCACTGGAAGCAGCTGGCCCATGGGCCACGAGACAGACATCATGTTCATCATCTTTTCTCCCGTTCAGCCCATTAGCAAACAAAAAAGGATTTCATGTGGACAATGAAGACGATCCATTTTCCTAGGGTAGCCCAGAAACAGCCATAGGTAGAACTAGAAGCCCGTGGCCCTCAACCACTAGTTCTCCCTTCTGAGGGCTGCAGCTCATTTCTTTACAAGAAACAAGCAGAATTCCTGTCTGGTTTTATTGCTGCTTTTTGCACAAAGGGCAGCTCATCTGGGGGAAGATAAATGCTACCAGAGTTACCACAGAAGGTGGTTTCCCTTTTCTTTTAGATCTTAATCACAATCAAATACACTTTTCAAAGACAGTAACCAAGTAAGACTAAAAAAATTGCTGATAAACCTAATTGGGAGTGTGCCCCGGAATAAATAACAGCGTTACTAAGCCAGTATTTGCTATCTAAATCATTAACTATGTTCCAGCCACATAATCTTCCAAAGCAGGTCTGTCAAAGAGCGATCTCAAACAGAAGGTCCATATGTTCAGTGACTGAGTCAATACTATAAAGCGTAGTGAAGCTTAGTTTAAAACACACTCAATAACCATTCAGGCACTTGAATGTAGAAAGGTCAGGGAGAAAAAGGGAGATTAAGTGGAGTGATAAGGTAGGTCAGCAGATACAGCAGGAAGAAAAGGCAACGTTAGAATTGCATATTGGTCCAAGAAGGATGTTGCCTTTCACTGATACTCTGCAAGTGTGACCTGCATTTACACACGTATGCTTTAGATAAAATCAGCTATTTTCTAAACCTCTTCTGTCAATACTGACTATTCAGCCTGATGACTGGCAGGGGAATATTTCTAGGGAGGGAAATGGCAAAACTGATACGGTTTTCATTTCAGTTAAATGTACTTACTAAGTTCTTTTCATCAAGGTCCACTCCAACATCTATAATCTTCTGCAGCACAGAGAGATATCCATTTTTAGCAGCTAAATGCAATGCTGTATTTTCTTCCTGAAAGAAAACATCACTTCGTACATATATGTATCACAGGACTGAGTGTTCATACACCACAGCTTTGCACAGAGTACATCCAGCGTGACTGAAAAGGAGGT